GTCTGTGTGTGTGTGTGTGTGTTTGTGTGTGTGTGTGTGTGTGCGTGTGTGTGTGTGTGTGTGTGTGTGTGTGTGTGTGTGTGTGTGTGTGTGTGTGTGTGTGTGTGTGCGTGTGCGCGCATCAGTGTGTGTGTGTGAGTGAGTGAGTGAGTGAGTGAGTGGGGGAGGGTTTGTGGAATGTGTTGCGCTGGTAAAGAGGATCTGCTGAACAAATGCTGCTGGTTGGTCTGGTTGAGTAGTTTGTTGGGTTCGATCAGGGCTGTGTGTTTGGGCTCCAGGAGTCGTTCTGTGTTTAAAACGTTCCTCAGGTTGCACACTTTGAGTGGGATTGGATCTCTGTGGCTCTGGGCTCTCGTACAGGTGGGATGCAGCGGCCCATTTATTTAATCAGGATTAGAGATAGACGGCCCTAAAGAGACACGGGGCTTTCCAGAGCATTTCTACTCAAACCTGCATTCTCTTTATTACTCTAAACCTCTACATTTACATTCAACTTAATGCATTTGGCAGACGCTTTGATCCTAAGCAACTTGTATTTGCATTCAAGGCGGATTTTTTGCAGTTCATGCACTTCCTGGGAATCAAACCCATAATGTTGATGTTGCAAGCGCTGTGCTCGACAGAACAGAAGTTGCACTGTTCCTTGCAATGTTTGCTTCCAGTGAAATGTTTGGACATATTTGACTGAATTAAAAACTGTTTCTGCTTCTGTTTAATTGCTTCACATTAGTGTTGTAGACACATTTAAATAGCGCTTTCTTGTGAAATTAATTATAAAACTAGCATTAATTTATTCTTCTAGACAAAGAGGCTGAGATGTACACTACCGGTCAAAAGTTTTTGGACAGCAAGATTTTTTATGTTTTTTAAAGAAGTCTCTTCTGCTCACCAAGCCTGCATTTATTTGATCCAAAATACAACAAAATCAGTAATATTGTGAAACATTTTTACTATTTAATATAACTGCTTTCTATTTGAATATATTGTAAACTGTAATTTATTTCTGTGATTTAATATGCTTTATTTTCAGCATCATTAATCCAGTCTTCAGTGTCACATGATCTTCAGAAATCAGTATAATATTTGCTGCTCAAAAAACATTTATGATTATTATTATATTAAATTTGTAGATTTTTTTTTAGGTTTCTTTGATGAATAGAACGTTTCTGTGATTTAATATGCTTTATTTTCAGCATCATTAATCCAGTCTTCAGTGTCACATGATCTTCAGAAATCAGTATAATATTTGCTGCTCAAAAAACATTTATGATTATTATTATATTAAATTTGTAGATTTTTTTTAGGTTTCTTTGATGAATAGAACGTTCAGAAGAACAGCATTTATCTGAAATAGAAATATTTTGTAACATTATAAATCTTTATCATCACTTTTGATCAATTTAATGCATCCTTGCTAAATAAAAGTATTAATTTCTATAATTTAATAATAAATATATAATTATTTAAATATACTGACTCCAAGCTTTTTTGTATAATGTTACAAAAGCTTTTTATTTCAGATAAATGTGGATATTTAACTTGTGCAAACGTGTACAAGTAACCTGTATAAGCATTATAAACTTTGAAAATAAAATGAACTATTAATAAATTAAATAATAACTAAATTTATAAATTATGAATTAAATAACTGAATTATAATTAAATGTATATAAAAAGCTACAATTAAATTGTTAATCATTATAAATGTATATATTATATTTATAAATAGAATTGCATATCAAATAACACATTAAAGTATTAGTCTTCAAATATTTTCTCTTTATCTCCATATTGCACAGACAGGTTATGTGTGTCACAGATGATGACAGTAATATGCACACACAGGCTGTATTTATGTGTGCGGAACGAGTTGGTCTGGATTTCAGAGATTCATCTGATATTTGAGATGTGTGGTTTTCTTTTGTTTTGTGGCTTGTGATCTCAGAGGAGCCCGTCTCTCTCTGTGTGACCCAGTGAACCGTGTCCGAGCTTCAGAGATCAGAGTTATTTTTGACTCTTATCTAGCCGTCAGCGATCCTCTCACGTCCCGCGGTAACGTGATTAACCCGCCGCTTACTGTAAACCTGCTAACGGATTTAGACCGACGCGAGAAACAATGCAGCCGTATTGAGAGAAAACCAGGACCAGCTTGCATTTTAGGATCAAACAAAAGCAGTACGAAAGCATGCATTTGTGCTGCTTTTATGATTCAGAGCATTTATTGGTTTGCTTTGCTTGAATCGTCATCTTCTGACACTTAATGGTTTTTAGTTTAATGCTTGATGATTTTATATTTTAGTGAAGCAGAGATCAAAACATCCAGTAACAGGGTAAAATCTAAATGTCCTGCATCTGTCAGAACGTCAGTGAGCACCAACCAGTGCTATTTTAGTTTTTGCTAAAATTTTAAATGTTATTTTATTTGTTTTTATATTTTCTGTTTTCGTTTTAAAGTTTTAGCAATTTTGTTGTTCAGTTAGTTTTAATTTACTTTCAACTAGACAAAAAGGAGACATGTTGCTGAAATTATATATACATATAATTCTATTTTAGTTCATGTTTATTTTAAGGTAACAGTTTTTTTTATGGTTTTATTCTCAGTTTTAATTTTGGTTTGGATCATGAGATTCTTATCAAGAGTTTTTTATTATGAGATTTTTACTCAACTTTGATGGACATTTGATGGACTCAGATTTGTTTTATATCACAAATACATTTACAGAATCTTTTATAGTTGTCATGTTTATTTCTATAGCAATAATGCTATATGGCTATACAATTGCTATTGTTATAAAATTCATCAGTTCTGAAACTAATTCCATTTCAGCGGAAAAGCAGCTCTACAGAAGTAGAGCACAATAGCGTCATTATTTTATAGTTATTTTTATGAATATACAAACGTGTTTTTTTTGTTTAATTTCATAAAATGTTTATTTTTATTGCATATACTGTTTGTTGAATATCGAAGCCTTGAAAAAGCCAATAAAGCTGACAGCAACTCTAGTTTACTATGATTATAGTACTGCAGCACAGTGAGAGTGTTTGGAAACCTGTCTGGAAACAGCCATTATTTAAGCAGTTTCATTCAGTGCTGCTTGAACTGCATTTAACGGACAGACAGTCCATTCTCCCATGATCCTTTGCTGTCTGTAGCAATGGCCTCCTTGACCCCTGTGTGTTGTAAATGGAGCCGCTGACCCTCAGACCATTAGAGTTGCTTCAGATAAATCTTCTGTAGTTTGTGACTAAAGTGGGTTTGTTGTGTTTGCATTCACATACTAAGAGTATTTCAGTGTGTGTGTGTGTGTGTGTGTGTGTGTG